AGGAACGTCACTATAGCTTAGCATTCAGTCTTAGTTGATACTGTCGCTGAAGTAAGGGCAGCGATAGCTGAGCTAATCAAACCGCCTACAGTTCGCTCTCCCACAAATCTCCCTAATTAAATACGCCGACCGTAACAGAACATGAACACTTACTAATGTCAGTGCCTGTCACATGCTAATGGAGAAGAAATTGAAATTAGCATTACTATTACATATTACAAGGTTACTGTCTACCCTCTTTACACTATGTACACAATACTTTACATCCCAACATCTGAGTCAAAGTCATTACTGTTTTGAGTCGCAGCAGTAAATCTGTCTGACTAAAATTTCTTGCTGCAAGGCTTCTAACTGTTCAGCTAATTTTTGGTTTTCCTTTTGGCTCTCTCTTTCTACTTGCTCACACTCAACAAATATTATTTAAAAAAATAAAAAACCAGATCCAACAATTTTCATGAATAAACTCTTTGCAAAGAATGTTTACATTCATATAATAAGTGAATTCTTTCTCAGAGTATTAATTGGCTTTGTTCTCAGCTGATTGCTAAATGGCATAATCTGTATTACAATGGTCAGCTTAATAATATGGGAGCCCTAATTTAATTGATAAAGTTGAAATCCATAAAAAAACTCATCATAATCAGTGAACAAACTCACCAAAAATGTGAAATGATTTAAAAAACAATTATACGGAAAAAGAATTAAATTAAAGTGCAAAATTTTTGTTTAAAAATGGTGTTTGGAATCCATAAGTTATTTGGTGAAGGAAAGATGACGAACATAAAAATAGAAATATATGATAGTAATTTCATTATTAATATAGCAATGATAAAAATAATGACAGTATACTCATAAATGGCTTTGGATCCAAGTATGTTTCTCCCATAATTACTCTGGTGCATTTATTGCTATTTATATTTTCAAAAGCAATCACATGTTATAATAAAATTATGCTTACAAACTGGACATGTGCCATTTTGACTCTTGGTTGCAATTGTGTCGAAGTAGCAAAATATAATTTATGTGTAATGAATGCATTCAAGCAGTCTTATCAATAAAGAATGATCACAGGTCATTTGATCAGTAGGAGAGCTTTCATGAATTGTTTCTTCAAGTTTTCATTTCTTTCTTGGTTTAGCATGTGTCAGCGTTGGTGTTAATGCTCGTTTAATAGTTATGAATTTCCATTCCTCTTGATAAATTTCATAAGTACTGTAAACTGCCATGAATAAGAGCCTACCGTAAATAAGGGCCCCCTCATATGAAAAAATGCTGCCGTGAATAAGGGCCGTAATGCTATGAAATAACCACCCCCTTATCACGTCAACAATCGACGTCATATATTACTTTATTTAGTATCGCTGGTTTATTATAATGATTCATCGTCTTCACAAACATCCTCTGGTAAAACTATGGCTGGTTCATCCTCCCTCACAACACCTTCTTTCCATATTAAGTCATCTTCTGTACCATTGAGATCATTAGATAGCCCACAGGTTTTAAAGGAGTTTACTACAATCTCATGTGAAATATCATC